ACTGGACAAAATCTGCTCCATCTAAACTATTAGAACTAAAAAGTTTCCGATAAATATTTGGAAAGTTGAAGTCACCCATGACTACAACCCTGTGACTTCTGCACCTTTCCAGTATCTGCCTCCCAATCCACTCCTCCACTTCTCTGCAACTGTTAGGGGGGTCTGTGAAAAGCCAAAAAGTGATTGCTCCTTTCTTGTTCCTGACCTCAACCCGACTCTGTAGACATATTCTCGAACTGCGTTTCAGTAGCTGCTATACTAGCCCTGACTAGGCTAACTAGGCTTCATATCATGTGGAGTAAATCAAATTGACTAAAGACTGGCATTTGTGATGCTGGTCACTCCTAGAGGAGGCAGAGATGGATCATCTTCTAGCTGAAGTTTGTGGTGAATGCTTCAGCTGTATCTTTTGTACTGATGTGTTGGGCTTTTCCTTCATCAAGGATGAGGATATCTGTGTAGCCTTCTCCTCCAGTGAGGTTTTTTTTTTTTAAATCTGCCATGATGGGATTTCAACCTGGATGCCCAGGGCACAAACTGAGTTTCTGGATTAATAGTCTAGCACTAATACTACTTAGGCCATCTCCTCCCCAGAGGGAAGGGACGATGCAGACGTGCTGAAAAGCAGTGTAAAATTTAGTTGCACATGACTACTGTTTCAGTGCATGCTCCCTTTAAATATTTCTGTGGGCTATGCATCCATACTATCCATCACAGAATTACACTAGCATATTTTCCAGGCTGTTTCAAGTTAATGTGAACTTTGCTGTTGAGTATTTGCACCATTTCCTGTTCTTATTTCCTGCTGTTTTCTGTTGCATAGCACCGTGGTGCATTGATTTAAAAGATAAACTTCAATGATTTACAATGCAATAATCAGCACTTTTCATGACCAACTTCATCCATTCTTATTCACTTCATACAAGTTGAAAATTAAGGTAGGTCAAGTCAAAATAGTTCACTGCAAAACTTTATTCTCCAAATAGTTATGTACAATACAGGGCTGTACCATAAATAGGGAAATAAAAATGATTGCTTATAAAAGAAATTAAAAACTATAATGTACATTATTTAGAGCTTTAATTATCATACAGTATGTGTAAATCAATCCCAGCTATAGAGTCCAATGCACCTAAAAATCATTGGGATGGGGGGCTGGGGGGAGGAGGAGAAGGAGGAAGAAAGGGTGCTACGCAAAACACCAAATGAAGTTGGTGCATATACACAACCATTACTCGAAGCCAAATTGTTTATTTTGCAAAATAAAAAAAAGTTGTTCCATTTTGTAGTTTTATTCATTTCAACAAGGAGGAAACAGCAAGCTTGTTGACAAGTGTGTAGGTGTTCAGAGTTGCTACAAGAGTACATTTTGAAGAAGTCAACAAATCAAAAAAGGATTTTGATTAAATACAGAAAGTAGGATGCTTTGTTTCACTCAAGTCAGGTTGGATAATAGAATTTTCTCCACTGCAGCAGTCTACTACAGTAGGCCACACGGTGTTGCAAACAAACAGCATACTACATACAATATTGTTTGCAAAAGGACTGAAGCACCAACATTCAATTGAATTTAATTTTGCCCCAATTATTACATCATCCATCTGCAAAAGTAACCAAATTTTTCTACTCAGTTCAGATGCTAGAAAACAATACTGTGGGAAATCTTCCCTACCATAATTTACAGGTAAACCATACAAAATAAAATGTTACATCCGATTATTCATTACAAAAGCGTTATTAGATCCCTCCTTTTTGGTCTCACCATTGAATCTGGCCTCAAACTAGTCAATTTGTAATACTGGAGTTTTTAGGATTGACATCCCATCCAGTGCTGAACATGGTGGTTGCATTATTTAAATTCCCAAGAGATGTTGTGTGCTCCCTGCAAAGATCTACGTCTATTAAAAAAATAGCCTTCTGAAATCTTTTTATACAATAAAAAGAAATAGTTACTAACAATATAGTTTGGCTCTCAAGCTTGAGCTCGAACACTCAGCACATGGATGGAAAGACTGCCTTCCTTGCACGAGTACTGGGTTGATGGTTGCACGTTCAATCCCTTGGCAAGTCACTCAACTAGCCATTCTTTCTTTGTGACTGACCTTTACTGGGAAGGCCAAGAACAGTTTCATTCATGGTCACCCAACTCAGGGAATGCAAGGAAAGAAAATACTGCAAAATCAGATTCTTCCAAACACCTTGCCTGTTTGGTTACAGCAACTTCCATTGCTGAACAGGCTAGAAATATCTAAGAGAAGGCAGCACTAAAGTATTTGCAAGCAAGGAGCAGCCTCCTATGATGTCCCCACTACCCAAGGTATGAAACAATGGATCTTTTTTATTATTGTGGCACCTAGAAGTTGAGGTGCCCTTCTCTTCAAAAAATAAAAAAAAGCCCAGAGTTTTGTAATAAATACAGAAAAAAAACAAGCTCCATAGCCTCTCTGAACAGACAGAGACAATGTATAACTCATTGCAGCTTTATGCTGAAAACTTGCAAAGCATCAAAGTCACAATTACTGCACAATTTCTGAAATTGATCATTTTCACACATTTTACAATAGGAAACACAGAGGCCTGCACTGTATATTTGACAAAAGTGCTATCAATCTGACTACATTAAAAACATTCTCACCCTGCTTCCTCACCACCATCCTGGCCAATAGTTCAGAAGGACTGAACAGCTGGAATGGCCTTCCCAATTCCTGCATAAAGAGTAAGAAAAGCACCTGAGGCAACAGCTTTTATCATACATTTTTAGGATTAAATGGCCAGTTATCAAAGCTTGCAGTTAAGGCAAACTTAGGAGATCCAGTTGGTCAAATGCTTACAGAAGAATTTTTTTTTTTTTAAAAACAAGTGATACTTAAATGAAGGCAAAACTATGACAGATGGAGTCTACGATGGGCAAGAGCAAGTTCATCCACTTTCAGGAAAAGACAGCAAATTGGAATATTCTTTTAATGGTGAAAAGTTAGGAATGATGTTGGACCAAAAGAGAGTCAGGTGTCAATATACACAAGTCACAAAAAGTTACCACATAGATACAAAAAGTAATCAAAATAGTTTTAACAGGCAATCAAACCAGCCCAGGAACAGGTGCAGGAGTTTCTTAGACCCAACCATCTTCAACTGCTTTAATGACTTCCCTCTGACAAATGTTCAGGTGATTGCACTTTGTTCAGTCCTACTTGCAACTCTTCAAATGTTAATACTCAAGATGTTCAACGCCATCCAAAACAAATCCATACACTTGATCAGCACCTATCCTCCACCTTAAACGTTTGCACTCTCCACCACTAGCATCAAATGACAGCAATATGCATCATCAGAAGGATGCACCACAGCAAACTGTCAGGGCTCTTTCAATTGCAGTTAAAACCCGACCTCATCACAAAGAGCAGCAAGGAAGTACATAAACGCCGATGGCCTACTCGAAGGCACACATCACCCTGACTTGAACTACATTGAATCTCTTCACTGTTATTGGGACAAGATATTGGAACTCCCTCCTTAACATTGTGTATCTACCAGCACCCCACCCTCCCTCAGGACTGCAGTGGCTCAGCACAATGTTGCGAAGGGCTATTAGAGACAGATGAGCAGAAATGCTGACCTCACCAGCAATGCTGACACTGTAAGACCAATTTTGTTTCAATAAAACATTTCATTGTATGCATGAATTACCACAAACAAAATGGCTGAATTTCAAAAAAAGTGAAGAATTTATTCTTCAGTTGTACAAAACTTTGATCAGACCCCATCTAAACTACAATGAGCAATGAGTTATAAAGATTTATTGCCTTAGTTGTGGGTACATAATACTGCACTTATTTCTAGAACAAAACTGCCTCGTCAGAATAGACATTTTTGGATTTTGTTTTTACAATGTATTAAAAATATTGCTGTCAGTTTCAATATAAATCATAAACTAAGGATACTATCTACTCTGTTTATAGAGATATTTTAAAACAAATAGCAGGTTACTTTCCACTGCAGGAAATCTTTCTCTCCATTTAACAAGCTCATCAGCTGTAGTGCAGTGCTTACAGTTGCAGCTTCTTTAAAAAAAAGGTTTCCTGGGAATTTTTTTTTTTTACATACTGAATTTTGTTTGAATAATTTGTAATAAGAAAGTTTAGCAGAAAGAAAAATAATTCCATGCATGCTGACAAAAATATAATACAATTGCATGAAATCACACCATATAACACTGTAGAGAAAGCCCTGGCAGTCATTGAGCTTTTAATTTTAGTACGTTAAACTGTGCCAAATATCCATTTACGGTGGTGTAAACTCTCAGTGTTGGCTGAAGGAAACAAAGGGCAAAGGGCAAAGGGCAGTGCCTTGGAAGTAAACCCCTTTAACAATTGTACAGCAGGGATGCCAGAAAAAGGTTAAAAAAATAAAGAATTTTCAGGAAGGGGGGAAATGCAGTGCACTGTGACAATTTTTGTTTAAATACTTTTTAAACAATGAATTTAAGAATTCATCATCTGTTCAATCCACATACCACTAATCTTAACCTTATCGCAGGTTTTTAAACTTTAAGATAGCTAAAGATGACAATGAGGTAGTCAAAATAAACAACATTTCTAACCAAAAAATCTTTGACAAAAAATGAATAATTATGCAGTAAATAAAAGAAAATGGAAATGCACAGCAAGTTTTGTTACCTAGGAAGAGCTGATTAACATTTCTGACACAATGTCTTTATCAGGGCCAAACACTCATTTAGCCCTGTTAAGGCGCTTACATCCAATTCTTAAGCTCTGTTTCTTCTTTGCAGAAATCAGCAGAGCTCTTGTAATTTTCACGGTTTTACATTTTTGATTTTACCTGCTGTCTTCAAAAGTGACATAAATTCATCTCATTTTGCACAAAACAAACTTTATCAACTTCTTGACTGAAAATTAGAGCCTGTGCAAAGCCTCAATTCTCTGTTTTGGCACCAATATCAGATATGGGAGTAAAATTTACTGACCAACAAATCCTTCCAGAGCCAAAGAAACAGACAAACATTTTAGACTAGATTTCCAAATCTAAAACAAAATGTATAAATCCATTTAAAATGACATACCGTAAGTGAAAAAACCTAGACCTTTTACAGCAGTATATGCTTTTCAATATCAAGTGGGCACAGGTCAAATACACATCTGCATCCATATTACCATCAATACGTATCCAAGAAGTCAAGCTGATCCAAATTTTAATACTGTAGTATCTTAACGTAGAGTCTTTTCAGACTAATGCCGATTTATGGGGACATTAATTTCCTTAATCAGCAAGATCCGAACAAAGATCACTCAAATTCATATTACTCAAGCAATTCAATAGAGATGGAACTCTGGGCCATCACGTTTCAGCAGATGTAATACTAATTTACATATCTCCCATCTTTTACACCAAACAATAATAAAGTGCTTCAAATAAAATCAAAGTTGAACCAAGACACAGATCTCCTTGGATTAGACACACACAGCACAGTGTTTTTACAGACTGAGCTACCATAGTGGCACTAGGATTATTGTTTTAAGAAAACTATAGTTATGGATTCCTGATCACCAGTTTTCCAAACTGTGCAGACTACAATGGAAAAAAAAAGAATATAGTGCCCAGTACTCAAGAACAGTAATTCTCACTGATAGAATTCTATAACTTCCAGTGTGCATGTGAATTTACATTTTAACCTAGAATACGGTGTTTGATATATACAGATGCATTTCTCATTTTAAAAATCATTTTAGAGATACAAGACAGCTTAGAGCTAATTTGACTGAACTCAGCCTTTTTTAACCAAGTCTGTAAAGGATAACTGATAAGATTTGAAACACACCAGGGGGACGTAATAGACTCTCGGTATTAGTAACAAGAATAAAGACCAGTTGGACATAAAGTTTAAGGCTGTGGCAGACAGCTGATTTATTGTAGTTTCAAAATTAAAGAAACAGTAAGTTTACTGGACTGTACCTTGCTACCTAGCAACTAAAGAACACAATGCCAGGAAAAGCAAGACAAAAAATAAATCCTGGCATTTACTTAGAACTACAATAATAAATACTGATCTTTAATGAAGTATAAAAATATAGGTTAGGTTTTTCTTCAGAGAGATTAATTTTTGAATCAATAAAAAGGTAAAATATTCATAAGAAAGTTTATAATGGAGATGTTAATGGAGAGTCTGAGGCATTGACATTGATCTGTAGAACTTCACGCCAGAATATCAGCAGACACAACTGGGGTATTCCTAGCATTGTCAGAAAAATAATGTCATGCGTGAGACAAAAGGAATGAGAGACAATGCTAAATAGGCAGTAGTTAGAGTGCACAGTATTGGTCACCCCATAAACTAACATTCTTTTGTTATATCCACTAATCATTCAAATAGTTCAATAAAATGTTAGCAAAGGCTAAATTATCAGTTTTGGCTCATTTTTTTTTAAAAAATTCATTCATGAGTTGCGGGGGTCATTGGCAGAAGGCAATTAACACTCATCCACATTACTTTGGGTCTGGAGTCACATATTGGTCAGACCAGGAAAAGGATGGCAGTTTCTTTCTCTAAAAGGACATTAGTGAACTAGATGGGTTTTCTTGACAATTGACAGCGTGCTCCTGGTCATCATTAGGCATTTAATTGCTGATATTTATTGAATTTAAATTCCACCATCTGCCATGGTGGTGGTACAACTATTTAAACCTCTTTACAGCCAGCAGGTAACCAAAACAAAACTACACTGATGGTTGCAACTTGGAACAAGGTACAATTTTAAATGGCTCTAAAGGGGTCTCATTTTATCTAACGATTTAACAGCTGTAGCAGGAGATTAGGAGAACACATGGAATTTCAAAGGCTCAGCTACTTGACAATCTGTCTGCAGCTTTTGGCAAGCTGTAGGACTTCATTCCTAATAGAATGAGTCAAACAGAACATTTACAATGAGGCAAAATTTTCTGAAACATGATTGTTTAGATCAAAATTATGGGCATCATCAACTGAATGGATTTAGGCTCTACTTTGCAATCAGGTACAATGATTTTTTTTCATCCCAGTCCTTTCTCCTGAAAGGATTTCTAAACTTGTGCAGTTTACTAAAAGAAGCATTTAAGAAAATGGCCTTTGACAGATTTAGACAATACAAATACAGCCTGGCTTTCAGATGTTCCTTTGTTCCTCAGTCCTCTACTGATATTTTGTTTATAGTTGCCATTTCAAGATACAATGAAGGAACGTTTTGTTTACTGAGTGGGTCCAAAGGAGACAGCTACAAAATGTTCCATGCTAACAAAACAAATGCATTACATCCATCCCACGTATATACTAAAATAATGTTTTTGACGCGACACTAATACTATTTTTTAAAAATGGCAAGCTATTGTTTACTGAATGGTGTGTGGAGGATGGCTTGTCGAAAAAAAATTATTTTTCTAATAAACTAGTTAGTAGTTTAGAATAGTTTACATACATCAGATACATATGGGTGAGGTCTGCTGTCTCTGTAGCTGTAAAACAAGATTAATAAAAGGGATAGCCACAAGGTTATCATAAATTGTCAGATAAAATTTAAGTTTCCTATTGAGCACATTTCTTCAAATTGCAATCAACACTGAGCCCCTTTGGAGGCCTTTTGAAACTGGAAAGCTTACATCAGGGACACATGAATTTTTTTTTAAAAAAAATATTAAAATGAACCAAGCCTGAAGTCTTCATGACCATGAATATATTTAGTTAACAAAACAAAATTAAAACTAGGTCTGGAACTGAACATTTGGATCCTAATGTTTCCAGAACCACACACACAGTCTCCAATGTAATGTTCAAGTTGATAACCAAAGTTTAAAAATGATTTACAAAAAGAAATTTACTCAAGTTAAACAAAAAGACAGTGACAAATTAGCAGCAGAATGGGCAAGACCCCAATACCTGGTTTACAAATCTTTGGTTACAGTCCCAGTTTCAATGTTACAAATAAATCAAAATGTTCAATGCATTCAATATGCAGTAACGCCCATCTCATACAATCAAACATAACAGCATTTTATCACCTCTAAAACTACCTCTGTTACAGCAGTGTCAGAGCATTTCCAGCCACATAATTTACTACAGTAATGTAAAACCAAAAAGGTTGCATACAACAGACATGCTTCAAGTATACCAAGGTATTCAACTTCCACTTCATAATTAAGAGCCAGTATTTCGCTATAAACAGGTGAGAGCAGTTTGTGGTGCATGCAAATCAAAAACTGAATCTGTTGGGAAGGCAAGCCCTGTAAACTACTGCACAGCAACTCAGATCTGCCTAGAAAGCAGACCCTGTAAACCACTGTGCAGCCATTTGAACCACAGGAAAAAAAACTCCACAAAGCAAAAGGGTGAGGAAGTTGGTGAGGGCTTGGGTGGTGTAGGTATTGATAGAAATGTACGAATTTCACAGCATCATTCAGAAATACTCAACCATATTTTCCCGTGTATATTAAGAAGTGTAAACTGAGTAAATAAGTGGTTTGTGTCTTTTTTTGCTGCTGGCATGCACGCTGCTAAAAGCTAGCTTGTGCACAATCGTATTGGCTAAAAAAGGTGACATGCTCAAGAAGCAATAGTAAGAATCAGTCAAGTGATTTGTTTACTGGTATAGTGATTATTTCCCATAAAGTATAGCTGAATAGTCTGCACTGTTTAAGGAAGCCGCAGTGATGAACAAAAACAAGATTGGTCATTACAAAAAGGTTAAAATGGTAATGCACTAATGCTTGTCACTAATGGTGCTATTTAAACCTAGTCACCTGATGGGGCTTTTCTATCGTTACAATACAAATACAAACACAATATCCTCAGGTCTGTGGGAGAGAGGATGAACAAGAACACCATGTCCAATTCTTATAAATATCTTACCTATGTACAGTAGTAAACATCTCCCCAGAGCCCACTTTTTACCTGGATATCAGTTCACATTTTCAAAATAATGTTTAAAAACTTCCAAGTTTGGCACATGTAACACTGACACTCTCCCTGCAGTTTGTATTAGAGTGCATTTACAGTTGTGTGCATCTGCCACCATTAATAATTAATGGTGACTGTATAAAATGTTTTGCTCGTGAGCTTTCACTGATCCCTCAGTCACTTTCATGTCCTTGTTTCTGGAAAAAAAGCACATAAGGCGCCATACTGCAGAGATCCAAACAGCAAACAGTCTTCCCCTACTGGCCTGGAGATCACAAAGGTTGGATATTTCATACAACTTGCTGACCTTGCAGGTTGGCATTCAATTCTGGTGTCTTCGGGTGGTTTTTCCCTCAAACATCCCCCATATAGAGAGCTCCAACAGTACCGCTTAGCTTAAATGAAACCTGCCCTTATAGGGTGGCTAGAATCCTCGAGAATGAGATGACAACTGTGAGAACTGTCTGTCCAGCACCAAATACCAAAGCCTCAAGTGGAGCCATAGTTTTCCCTGCTACCCTGTATACACCAGCCACTGCTGCACCTGTACAAAATAAAAAGAACAATTACTTCACAAGAAGTAAATTGTGAACGTTTAAACAAAAAAATGAAGATAATTGAGAGCTAAACAATGGTTTTCTAGCAACAGAAAATATGTGCATCTGTAAGAATAAAACCAGGATTTACCAACAATATGACCAACCGGCTGGACTAAAATTTTATGTGACACCAGGACCAGATGTGATGGATCCAACAATATGGAGAGGTTAAAAGGTAGAAATCAGAAGCACTAGCTAAAATCCACTATTTTTTTTTCTATACAGGTGGGTGACCACAGGACTGGAGACCTCAAATGGACATGCAAAGAAAAACTCTACGATTTCAGACTAAATGTCTCTAACTTTTAGACATTTAAATTTTTTTCCTCCAATTATAGTCATTTTGGACAAGTAGAAGTTAGGGAATGTCAACACAGATTTGGTAAAGGCAATAAATAAAATGTTAGAGAAACTCAGCAAGTCTGACAATTTAAGAGAAAGCAACATAGTATTAATGTTGAGTCCAATGACTCTTCAATGCCTAAATCAAAAGGTTAGAAGGGAAATAGAAAGCAATGAAGATGAATAAACTGAAAAAAAAAAGAAGAATCGTCAAATGGAAATTCTGTCAGAGAGAAGTGCAGAACCTCTACAAGTTGGATATACCTGCAAGAGAAGTGGCAGTGAATTAAATACTCAAATAAAAGCAAAATAGCTGATGCTAGAGAAATGAAACAAAAAGCACTGGAGAAACTCAGCATCTGTGGAGAGAGAAACAAAGTTAACATTAAATCCATTGACTATTTGGCACTTTAAATAATGAGAGGGAAATAGAAAATAACTTTTGATAAAGGGAAATTGCATTTAACTAACTTTATTAACTTTTTTTTGATGAGTTAACAGAGATGGTAGTGGTATTTATGAACTTCCAAAAGGCATTGATTAAGTGCTAAATAGCAGCCCTACCAGCAACTTCCTAGTTTTTGAGAGACAAAATAAAGCACCAAGTAGAAAAACATGGATTATTCAAATATTGTCAACATGGACTGGTTTAGAAAAAAGAAAGATTCTACATTACTTAACTTGACTGAATTTTTTTAGTTGCCTACATGTGGAATTGATAAGGGTTGCATGTTTAATATCGTATATATGGATTTTAGCACAACCTTTGACAGAACTCCTCCGGCAGACTGGTCAGAAATGCAAAAGCCCATGAGAAGACACAAACTTGTATATATAACTGGCTCCATGCAGGAAGCAAACGGATGATAGTCAATGAGTCCTTTGGGACGGACACCATGTTACTGCTAGAATTCCATAGAGCTCAGTATCAAGTCCTCAAGAAAACAGATGTTTAAATGAACAGGGAGATCTGTGTGTAGGCCAACAGATCCCTTGAAGCAGCATGATAGGTAGACAAGATTGTTATTTTTTAAATTCATAGTGAATGTTGGGCCAACATTTATTCTCCATTCCTAAATGTCCAGAGGGCAGTTAAAAGTCCAGTCTGGAGTCATATGTAGACCAGACTAGGTAACAGCAGATTTCCTTCCCTGAGGGGCATTAATGAACCAGATGTGCTTTACCAACAACTGACAACAGTTTCATGGTTTTCATTAAAAAATAATCTGCAATTAAGAATCCAAATTGGATTTGAATTCCACCATGCCTTGGCAGGATTTGAACCTAGGTCCCCACAGGATTACCTGGGTCTCTGGATTAATAGTCAATAAAATACAAGAGCAGGGAGCATACATTAGAACTATACAAAAGCTGTGATTGTCCTGCTAAGTGCATTTGAACAGAGAGTTGATGCCATTAATGCCATCAACCCGAACTGGTGTGCCCATTATTGCTGCTTCTTCCATGCCCCTCGATTCTCAGCTTCTCTCACTTCCCTAATCACCAGTCTTCTTGCCGTCCCACTTCCCATGTCATTTGCGACTGTTTATCCCATGCTAGACAGCATATGTACTGGAATTGCTGTATCAGTGAAGAGATAGTATTGTTTCTTGTTCCTATTGATCCAATTTGTTGATTCAAAAATACTACCTTTCAATAGCAGGATTTTCATGTGTGATGACCATACCTTGCAGTTGCTTTGGCAGCAAATGTAACACATGAGGAAACCAGCATTTTCAAAAATACTATACACAGTTTTAGTTACTGCAATAAGAATGGTTACCCATCCCAATTCTTTTAGCAATTTGGGATGCAAGCCATTTAGACTAGATGACTTACTTTAAGCACAGCTAATCCAGCCTGTCAATTTTCAACCAGTCCACGATCTCTACATCTCCAAATCACTAATATTGTCAGCAGACTCCTCATTGTTTAACACTGATAAAAACCTATTCATCAAACACTACAGTCTTGCCCAGCACCTCTAATCACATTGTTCCCAATAGGATCCACTTCACCCTTTATGACCCACTTCCAAATATTTTACTGGCATGTAAATAGTATGTTCCCCTTTACATTAACTGCCAATTTTATTCTCCCAATCTTATTGTTCTCTTCATTTCTTCTCTTGACTTACTGAACTTGTTCAGGTTCTCACTTGAATTCATCTGATATACATCATAGACAAAAAAAAGTGAATCTCCCTCATCATGATGGCCTGACTTTGGTTCCCCTTTGTGGAATGTATCCAGTACCCAAAAAGATTCTCTTCTGTCAAGATCGCCCATTATTTTGCTTGCCAGACTTTTGTTCTGCTTTATACTGGCCAGGTTGCCTCTCATTCTAGTAAAGTTAGTCTTCTTTCAATTTAGATGTTTTATTTCAGAATATTCCTTGATTCTCTGTTTGTACCGTTAGGTTTAGACTACTATGATCACACTTAGTCAAATATTGTCCAACAGACACTTAGTCCATTTGGCCCACCTAATTTCCTGTGGCAGATCTAGGAATGCCTTCTTCCTACTAGGGCTGATAACATCACAATCAAGAATGTTCTCCCGAAAACATTTCAGCAATTCCTCCCCCTCTTTTGCCTTTACTCTAATTACCCAAATATTGACTGATAAAATGATAAAGTCTCCCAATGTAAGTATTCTGCAGTTCTTGCAAAGCTGTGATCAACCAGATTTGTCCCCTTCGTTATTTTAAAGTCTATAGAATGCACCTAGTAGAGTGAACATATCCTTCTTACATCTAACCAAATGGATTCTGTCCTTATTTCCTCAAAGATATCCTCTTTTCAACACCACAATGTTCATTTAAGCTAATCCACCATGCTATCTACCTTCCCCCCCCCTTTCTTTTCTAACCACTATTTTGCATTAATCTTCATCTACCATGTGTCTGCCCATCCTCCTGTAGTCTTGTTTCATTGCTACGTGTGGTAACAATGAACAATGAACAGTGACAAGTTTATGTCATGTGAAAATTTTTAAATTTTACCAAAGCACAAGTCATATATTATACAAATACATGATGTAGACAGATGGAGAAGGGCAAGGCAAACTTAACAATTCTATTCCTCAATTTAGAGATGAAGTTACAGCACTTTTTCACTGTTTTTAGGAGGGATAGTTTGAGAGAGAAGAGAAGAAGATCTGGAATCTATTTTCAATCTTGAACAGCTACCTAGATACGGAACCAAATATTGTCGTTAAAAGGGAAACAACACAATTATTTACATGAAAATAAGGCAGCAACTTCTGGCTCCCAGTAGTTGAAGATCAAATTCTGAAGCTACTATCCAAGATGGAAGATAAATCTGCATCTCATCATCTAGCTCCCCATTCAACTTCATTAGAATTAGCACATAACCTTCATGCTCTTCAATATGACAAAACATTTTAACTTGTCTATTCCCAAAGAACAATAGAGTACAGGAACAGGCCCTTTGACCCAACAAGACTGTGCAGACATACGATGCCTTTGTCAACCAAAAACTTTTGCCTCTATGCTGTCTATATTCTTTTATTCCCTGCTTATTCATATATCTGTCAAACTGCCTCTTAAATGTTGCTACTGTATCCGCCTCCACCACCTCCTTTGGCAGTGTATTCCAGGCACTTACAACCCACTTAAAAAAAACCTGCCTCTCATATCTGCTTTAAAAACTTATCCCCTTTTTACTTGAAATATATGTCTCTTAGTACTTAGTATTTCTACCTTGTCAAAAAGGCTAATTATCCACTTTATTCCCGCCTCTCAGAAGTTTTACAACTTCTATCAGATCGATACTCATCCTTCGGCATTCATCCAATTCAAGCTAATCTAATCTCTCCTCATAGCTAATACTCTCTAAATCAGGCACTATGCTGGTAAACCATTTCTGTAACTTCGCCAAAGCCTCCACATCTTTCTGGTAGTGTCGTGATCAGAACTGTATACAATATTCCAAATGTGGCCTAACTAAATTTCTATACAGCAGTGACATGACTTGCCAATTTTTATACTCTATGCCCCAACCGATGAAGGCAAGCACACCATATGCCTTCTTGACCACCTCATTCATTTACGTTGCCACTTTCAGCCAACTGTGGACCTTTTACATCCAGATCCCTCTATGTTGATGCTACTAAGGGTTCTGCCATTTACTGTACACTTCCCCTCTGCATTAAAATTTCCCAAAATGCATCACCATTTGTCTGGATTAAATTCCATCCGGCATTTCTCCACCCAGGTCTCCAGTCTATCTACATCCTTCTGAATCCTCAGGCAATCCTCCTCACTATCCGCAGCACCCCCAATCTTTGGGTCATCTGCAAACTCACTAAATCAGGCTACCTACATTCTCCCCCAAATTATTTATATTACAAACAACAGGTGACCCAGCACTGCTCCCTGTGGAACACCACCAGTCACAGATTTCCAATCTGAAAAACACCCTTCCACTGCCAATCTGTCTGCTATGACTAAGCCAGAGATCAAGACACAATCAGCCAAATTCAACTCTAATTGCTCATTTTGGTTCACTGATTAACGGAGATTTTCCTCCTCTAAATGGTGAGCATTTAATCTCCCCTGGACCTCCACACAAACACATTCT